CCGCTCTTAGAGTGGATGGTACTAAATATATAACAACTCAAGAAAAGCAGATATTCTTGCAAAATCATTTCTTTCTAAATGAATTCTATGCAGTTTCTCAAGATTTTTATGATTCTGATCAGGAAACGTTGGTACGTGGAGTGATTGACACAGTAAACAGTGGTAATATAGACCATAGTGAAATTGATCAAATTAAAACTGACGAAGTAAATAATATAATTAGGAGTCTAAAAAATAAAAAGGCACCAGTATTAGATAAAATTTCTGCAATTTATATGAAACGAATACCATCTAAATTTATTGGGTACCTCACATGTGTATTCAATAATTGCCTTAAAGTTGTTTATTTTCCCGGGTCCTGGAAGGCGGCCAAAGAATCCCTATCAAAAACCAAACCAAATAAATCACCAGAACTTCCTATAAGTTTATGAAACACTTTTGGTAAAATCTTTGGAAAACTCGTAAAAAATAGGTTATCTGATTTTCTACACACTGAGCAAATATTACCAAATGAACGATTTGGATTTCGGTCCAATCATTCTAGCATTCATCCATTGCTACGGTTAAAATACAGTGTTAGGAGTCATCTGACGGGTGGGAGATCCGTAGCTAAGTTAGTGCTGGATATTAACGCCGCGTTTAACAAGGTCTAGCACAACAGCATCGTTTACAAATTAAAAACTATAGGTCTTAAATTCTATTTAATAAAAATTATACAAAGCTTTCTCCAAACAAGAACGTTCCAGATTTGCTTGGTTGGTACTACTTCCAGAATTTTTTCAATCCCCGCTGGTGTACCCCATTGGTCGGTCTTAGGACCTATACTTTATAATATTTATACGCATGACATACCCCGTCTTGAAAATGTAAATTTATCTATATTTGCTGACGATACTTCTCTCTATACTTCAGGATTTTACAGTGCCGATATTATACGACACTTACAAACTGGCCTAGATGCACTATATGGATACTTCAGACAGTGGAAAATTACTATTAATGTTGATAAAACTAACGCAATTTTCTTTACTAGGAAGAGAAAAACTGAACTTATTCCTAACATAAATCTTAAAATAAATAATGTTCAAATATCTTGGGTAGAAACTATTAAATATTTAGGAATCAATTTCGATAAAAGGCTAACGTTTAATGCACATGTATCAAAGATCGTAGATAAACTTAATAAAACCACAAGAATTCTCTACCCGTTTATAAATAGAAGATCTAATTTATCTCTAGATAATAAATTAATAATTATGAAAGTTATTTTTCAGCCAATTTTACTATATGCTTGTCCGGTATTCCATGATATCGCTAAAACTCACATAAATAAATTACAGGTGGCACAAAACATGATTTTGAAACTAATTTTAGATTTACCATTCTATTATTCGACTAAGAAATTGCATGACAGGTCAAAAATTGATTTCATCTTCGTGATGATTTACTCGTTATACTAGTAAATTTTTTGATAAATGTCAACATTCCCATAATATATTAATACAAGAACTATTTTGATTAAAAAAAATTTAATTTTCAAAATTTAAAATTTGGTATATAAGCGTAGTCAATAAGCATTAACTAGTTCTAAGTTTTACAAGACAAAAAAAAAACCAAAAAAAAAACATAAAATACAACAAAACAAGAAAAAAATTTTTTTTTGTATGTAAGATTTTTTATTTATAATTTTCCTTACGAGTATACTTATCAATAATTTTAAATAAAAGAAATCGAAATGAATCAATCATATAATTTACAATATTTCAGTTGTATAGGTAGTAAGAAAATCTTATCTCTGTAAAAAAACGAAAATCCATGTAATGAATTATTGTGTATATCAGTGATGCCCAAACTTATTTTTACTTGGGCCAAAAAATAAAATTTACAAGATATGCATGCCGGCCCATAATTTTTTAAAAAAGTCCAATTAAAAAGTATATAAAAAAACAATAATACAAAAGTAAGAAATTAAGCGTGTTTTATTGAATAATTATTTTAATTCATTTTTTTAAAAAATTAAAAAGTATAAATCCCAATAATACAAAAATTGGAATTTTTTGTATCTTATTATCAATGAAAACATTTAAAAAATTAAATCAAAATATATTTATATTAAATATGGTGCGATGGATGTGCTTGCATGGTAGATGCCAGTTTTGTAATGTTTGGTTCTATTTTCGACGTTGAAATTCTTAAAATGTCCTGCAAATGTTTTTGCATTTTTCATTTTTGAGTAAGTTTGTTTACATATGTATGAGTAGCCAAAAATTGATAACAACAGGGGAATCACCAGAAGATTGTGGTGTAAGAAAATGTTTATTTTTTTTCTATAGTTATGGTTCAGCTGTGATTAACGTAAAATTGGTGTAATGTTATTGTATAAATTCAAGAACTGATCGGAACATTTTTGTGAAAAAATATTTATTTTTTTTTTAATTAATAGACGTAAAGGAGGCTGCAATAGAAAAATAATATAAATAAACACGTGGAATTGAATAACTGAACATATTTTTTTCTAAATAAATTTCCGAAAATATTTTTAAAAAAAAAGTGTTAAACATGTTTTCAAAAAATTGCAAGACGCTTCGAGGGCGAGCCGTAGTTTGGGCATCGCTGGTGTATATTATGAATAAAGAAACTTAAACTTAAACTTATATTTTAGTCAAATTCAAATTATTTTTCGAGAACTGAGAAATATTAACGTATCTTGGAATGTTTTGTTTTGAATGCCAATTACTTTGTATCCTTCAAAAATTTTTTTATTCAGCTACTGAAAAACAAGAAAGAGCTATTGTTATATACCAGTGATGGGTAACCTTTTTTTAAATTGGGCTAAATGAGAAAAAGCAATCGTTTCCCGGGCCGCAGTTATAGCAGATTTATTTTCTAGTTTCAGTAATAAGTAAGTTTAATTTCAGTAATAAGTAATTTCAAGGCATTTTGTAGTTATTATTATAAAAATAGTGATTGAAAAATTATAATAAGAACAAATAAAAATAAGTATTAAAGGTTTTAATGAGAAATTTGACACTGCCTGTCGACAAGTTTAGAAATTTGACAATTTGACTGTCGACAAGTTTAGAAATATTTGCGGATGTATTAGAAACTGCGACACGTAAAAAGCTTTCCAACCTTTCATCATTCAGTCGATTTCGAGCTGAATTTTTGATAATTTTCATTTTTGAAAAAAGATGTTCGGAAAGAAACGCACTTCCAAAGAGACTACCCATCTTTCTTGCATGATCAGATAATATCGGGAATTTCTTTGTTGTTTTTTTTATTTTTTTAAAATTTTATCAAACTTATTTTATTATTTTTTTTTGGTATTGATGAAAATTAACCGATTCAAACCATGCTAAAGCTAAAAATTCGTATAAGAAATAGATATGTATGTATATTGAATTGAATTTTTTAGACTGTGTTAAAACAAAACGGTGTACAAAAGATCTGAGTACGCATTTGTCTCACCAAAAAAAATATTATCTTTGGGAAATCTTTTTTTCAACCAATAAGTAAATAAGTGGAAAAGTGAAACAAACTTAATTTTTTTTAAGTCGCAAAAAAAAAAATTAGTCGGGCAGTACTAAAAGAGCTTGTAATATACTAAAAGAGCTATTGCTAGTTAGGTCCGTTTGCTACAACATTCATTGTCACAATTGGATTATCAACAAAATTGTTTTTTTTTTTTATTTTTATAACAAATTCAATTTCATTACATTACATAAATTTTATTTCAATACTAATTTAATAATTCATAAAATAAAAGACAACAATACATTAAAAACAAAAACAAAAAACAGTTAAAAATTCATAAAAGTCTCATTTGAACAGTTTTGAACGTTTTGCCTTTTAGTTTTATATTATACAATATACTTACATATACATAGTTCAAAAAATGTTATGCACCTTTCACTTTAAAAAGTATCCAAATAATGTTACTAATTACGAATTATCAAATATTTTATTTACAAACTGAAATATGATCTTCGAAATGGTTAATGACCTCTTTAGATATGCGTTTTTCAGTGTAATATTGTTGAGTACTATATAGTGAAAGCATCTTATACAGGATATCTTATACAGACTGATTCTTTGACGTTTTTTAGAAAAAAAATCGTGTGTATGTAGATGGGAACTTAGACGTCCAGAGGTAGTTTTGGATGGTTAAAAAAATCGTATTGAAAAAATTCTAAAGAAAGAAAACCAAAAAATCATTCTTTAAATTCTAGTCCAAAAAGAAGTATTGTTTTTTAAAATTAAAAATGCAAAATTAAATCATTAGCAAAAAGTCAATTTACATTAAGTATATTAAATTTTTACTTTGATTTCGCACTTTATTTATTAATTTGATTAATTAACACCATGTTCATAATTGAGCGATTCAAATATTTTTTAAAATTAAGTTAGATTTGAATAATTGTTTATTAATTTTGACCAATTCTAAGTTAATAATAATTTTCTAATACACATTTTAGATTCTTTACTTTGCATGAGTAAAGAATATGCATTTATGCGAGAGAACAAGCTATTAAATTAATTAAATTTTGTCCGATCTGTACTTCAAAAAACTAGAAAAAATATACATATATATACATGAAATATGTATTTAAAAATTCAATATTTTACGTTATGAGTTTTTAATTTTGGATACAATAAACTCAATTTATTAGATTACTGGTATTAGAATGAAATACAAGAATACAGAAGATTATTTCTTTGTAAAAAGCCATCATAAGTCAAGTTACTTTTTGGAATGGATAAACCAAGGTAAATTAATTTTGAAACCGACTAAGTCAAAAACTAAAAAATCTTTAAGCTATATTTTTGGATTTATAAAATAATTTTTTTTTGTGAATATATTGTATTATTTTATTATTTATTATTATTATAAGAGTTCAAATTTTAGGAATGCAAAGTAATGTTTTTACAATTTATTTCTTATATGGTAAATCTTTGTGATATTACAATAATTGTTTATTTCCTATTAGTACCTTAAAATTTTTCTGTTTTTTAATTTAAATATATTTATGCATATTTGAGTATCATTTAATTACTTAAAAGTGAAGTAAAAGTAATTTAGTAAGGCCAAGTGATTTCTATTCTTTCAATTAGTGTTTTTGTTTAAAAAATGAGCTTTTGTTTATTAATCTGTAGTACTGAAAGTTGCAATAAATATGTTGATTAATGTTACCAAGAAAATGGTAGCAATTAAAAATTCGCTTAAGATGCGTGCTTTTTGTTTGTCATTTCGGCATTTACAATATCGCTAAAAAATAAAAAAAAATATAATCACTTTAAGTAGAATAAAATAGTATAATATGCATATAATAGTATAATATCGCTTTAAGTATAAAATACTATAATAATATGCATATCAAAGTAAACAATCCGAAGATTACTTTAAATATAAATGCAAACCCAACAATCGTTTGTAAGATTAATGATGAAATAATCAGAGTCATAATTAAAACATAAGTTTTAGAGTTTGAATTGTACGCCATTAAAAATCTTAATTGATTTGCATTTGCCGTTAATAACGCTACATCCATCATTCCTAAAATGCAAAAATGTTTAAAAAATTATTAATTTTTACAAATCTAACAATTTTATTTCAATTTAAGGAAATGTCATATAGACCTTCGGCAGTTGCTTTTTTAGATGCAAATTGATTTGATTCCTTTTTTCCATCAACAGAATCTAGCGAACATTGAGCCTCAACATCAACACGAACAATATCTTCTTCTTCAATTATATCTTCACTCTTTAAGTCATTATATTCCTGATCTTCATTGATTTTGGTCGATACTGTTATGTCAGGAATAAAAGAATTTCGGGGTTTTATTGCCGTTCTGATATTTTCTTGTATTTCCATTAAAAGTTGAATATTTTCTTTTCTCTATAATTCCATTTGCGATATGTTACAAAGTAATTTCAATAAACGTTTATCAAAGTTGAACCTAAAAATACAACTAGAAAAATTTAAAGTGTTTTTAGAATTATTAACGACGTTTCCATAAATGTAATTTCATTTCTGTTTGTGTTATCTGCGATTGTGGTTATGCTATGCAATAATTTCATAACGCCGTACAATAATACGGTTTTATGTGGCTTTGATTAATATATCAAATTTCAAATTTCTTCTTACTTTGTGTATTTACTTTAAGAAAGTTTTAGATAAAGATTTGATAGTGAAGAATCAAATAATTACATTTAAATTTTTATTTTTTGTCTTTCTCAAGTTAGCTACTTGAATATTGTGGAGAAACTCATATAAAATTCAAATAAATATTTTTACCGACCGTATTGTGTAAGCAATAGGTAGGTTATGTGATGGCAACAAGTTTTGCATATCGGGTTTTCGGTGGGAATGCACTTCTCCATACTTCCCTACTAGTATAAGTAAACTATTTTTAGCAACCTGTCGGTCCGTCGGTCTGTCGGTCTGTCGGTCTGTGTGAGCACGCGTGTATCTCAAGTTCTACTGAACCGATTTTGATGAAATTTTATATGTAAATTTATTTCCACCATGGCACGGATTGATCAACTTTTGGGATATATCAGGGCTCGGGAACTGCACTTTTTAGCGGTCCTATTTTACATTTTTGAACATTTTGAAGAAAGTATTCAATCGATTTACTTGAAATTTCATATATAAGCTTTCCTCGACCGTCCGCAAAAATTCCTAACTAAAAATTGGAAGAAATCAGGCACCAGCAACTGGACGTTTACTACGGGCCAAATATACGTTTTTTCGTATATAAAGAGAAATAATTGACCGATTTCATTGAAATTTAATATTTCAATTCCTCGTATTAAAACAATGAACATATAAATTTTTTGGAAAGATCAGGGCTCGAAAACTGATTTGCGGGCCGATTTTACATTTTTCACCATATATACGGAACGAGTTGATGGAATTTCTTGAAATTTAATATTTGAGTTCTGGTTAACTGGCGAGCATTTCTGAGAATTCCGGTAGCACAAAGCGAAACTCTACTAAGAGCCAAATTTACATTTTTCTAGGTATGTTAACTATAAGCTTACTAATGTCCTAAAAATTGGAAAGAAGTATTTAAAAGACGTTTTTATAATATTCTGTAACCCTTTCACTTAACTAGGCAATATACAATGCGGTCGGTTATGTGCTGACCACATCAGATATTTTATAATATAACTTTAATTAACAGTATAACAAGAAGTTGATGTGACCTGTACATAACTCATCTAATGTGGTCATTTTGAAATATGTGAGAAAGACTCCAATTTTGCGTTTGAGTTCTACATTGAATTAAATTTCCAAAGGAACGCATTGATTATTTCTACTATGTTTGAGCGAAGTTGAAAATTTGGTCCTAATAGAAGTTAACCTGGGTTTCTAAAACTATTTCTAAGATTGCATATATTTAGGATGAACGGTTTATGCAGTTTTTGAAATAAAGAAAAAATTTATTTAAAGAGTACATAATGCTCGATTTTAAGGTTAATTGCGTGAACTTAGAAAAATAATTATATTTTTTAATGTCATAGAATTTACCGTTACCTTTCTGCGTTTGTAGAAATTTGAAAAAGCTTGTGATTTCGGAAATATAAGGCGTCAAAAATTCAAATTTTACAAATTTCAAGAGAGATAACTTGAGAGGGGGTGGAGATAAAAAGAAAATTTCTTCTAACGAAATGAAAAATTTGTTAGTGCCTAAAAGCTACTTAAATTTCAGGCTCCCACATTCTGGGGTCTAGAAGAAAAATAATTTTAAAAATTGGAAAAAAACGGATTTTATGTAACGGTAAAGGGGAGGAGATAGATAAAAATTATGAAATAAAATTTCAGTTTTCTATTTTCAAGCGTGTAGAAGTTTTGTAAACAGACACACGGACAGGCGGACGGACGGACGGACGGACGGACGGACTTTTTTTCAAAATTTTTTTGGAAAAGTGCTAAAAACTAATTAATTTGCATTTCCATTTCTTTTTTCTTTTTCTTCTAAATTTTTTCTGTTTATACTTTTTTCTTTCTTAACATTTATATTTAGTTCCTAAAATTTTTAATAAATTCACTTAAATTGCTACCATCTTTTATTTTCCTGGGTAAAGAGTTATATAATTTAATTGCGCTACAATTTGATAGCTATAGTGTAATAATTATGTACATAATTTTCCCTACTTCCTAAGTTTAATTTCGATTTAAGGTTATTATTTAAAATAGTATTTAAATATTTACATTTTTCAAAATATATTAATTGATTAATATGTGTTTCATCAGTTATTTTACACACTAATTTGGTACTAGTTTTGTGGCTTAGTTTGAATAAAGTTTTCAAGGCTTTGTTTGATATAATTCCCATTTGATATAAGTCGAATTTAGAACAGTGATTTCAGCTACATTAATTATATTTAATTCTAGATAAGAAATGTCCTAGATATCTAATTCTGGATAAGATATGCAGATACTTAGCTTATTTTCCTGATATTCAATAAATAAATTATTATTTTCATTTTTATAGAAAGTGCCCCTTCTTAGTTTAAGATGAGAATTCAAAATTTCAATAACACTATGTAATTATATTTATGAGTAGCATGTTTGGGGGGCACCCGTCTCCGTTGTTTATGGAATCGAATCGAAAGTCAAATTTTTTAAGTAATTTTTTTTTTCTGATTATTTAATCGGTTTTTTCAAATTACTACACATATATACTTTGAATAATTCAGTAATTTAGGAAACAAAAATACATTGTAATCAAAAAAGACAAATCTCTATAACAGGTGAAATCCTTAAATTTAAAGAAAATAAATTATTAAAAAGTTTTAAATTTTTTTCTTCGAAACAAATTAAACTTATCTTTCAAGTTATTCAACTTTAAAAAAAAGTTGATATTTTAAAAAATTTTCACATTGGAATAAGGTTATTATTTTTATGCTTACCGTTGATCACGGACTGATTCATTTAAACTCAACGTGTCAAAATATGAATGGATATACATTACGTGCATAAATATGCAATTTAATTTAGAAAGAAAAATTCAAAATTAGATTAGGTAACAAGCAGTAACCAGCAGTAGCCAATCAATTAGTAATAATTTTAAATGATTAGGAACTTGACGTCTTGGCATTGTAACTATAAGTGAAACATATTCTTCTACAGTAATTTGGTTCCCAATTGATTACATGGTTTCTTTTAAATCACTGACGGATTTTGCGGGTCGGATTCTTAGTTCCTCTTTCATGTTAGCCCATAGAGACTCTATGGGGGTGACATTGAGACTACTGGAGGGCCACGAAAGTAAGGGAATATTGTGTTGTGCCATTGTTTTTACTTTTGGATGTATGGCATGTAGCGCCGTCTTGTTTAAAAAAGTAGTTAGTGTTACATCTTTGCCACGTTAATGGTAATAAGATGGTAATATATTTTGATACTTTTGTGAGTTCACGTAGTACTGTTGAGATCTTTCTCACAAAAGGTTCTACACTCCTGACTTGATTTTTAAATTATTGAAAAACACTTTCTTGAATATTATCATACTCTCTTAAACTTGGCTTAATTATGTATATTTAATTTACCTACATAATGATTCACTTACACATTAATAATTTAGTTTAATTTCGAAAAATGAATTAACTGTAAAATTCATTTTTCTCTCAACATAATATGTATAAATGATTTGAAATTCTATACTTATATTCTATTCTATATATGGTCACAGTGCAGTTAAGTTGATTTAAAATAAACATGTGTTTTCTTTTTAAGTTTAAAATAAAATAATTATAAGTGTTTCAAGTTGAATATTAAAAATTAGTGAAATGTAATAATAATAATTATAAATTAATTAATAATTAAAAACTAAATTAATAATAAAGAACATTACAACTTAAAATAAAATCATTGCGATTTTTAATAAAATAAAAATATAAAATGGTCTTCTTGCCAAAATATAGCAGGAAGCCATATTGGTGACCCCGACTAAAAAACACGTGAAAAAAGACTAAAGTTAAAATTTATATGTTTTAAATATAAAAACTTTTATATATTTTAAAATAAGTTATAATATAAAATCTAATAAATAAAACGGAAATCACTAAATAATAATAATTAAAAGTTTAATGCAAAATTTATAAATATAATATTGCAATATAAAAAAAAGGATAACTAAACTAAATTTAAATTATAACTCTTACAACATTAATTAAAAATAAAAAATTTTAAAATAAAAATGTATAGTGGTTAAATAAAAACCCTTAGTTAAAAGTTTTACATGCAGACAATATTCATCATCATCAGTTAAAATTTTCATCATCATCACAATCATACACAATCATCCAATCATATATAATTTCAACTTGGACATTTGCATCATACATTCACAAGTCAACTTCAATCAAACAATTGCACATTCAACCATTCAACTATTCAATTGCGTTCAACAAATCATTCATCAACATTTTCAAGCGGAATTATCAATACTCATCCATCAATATACTCATCATCAATACTCATCCATCACTTCATCAACCAGAAAGCATCATCAATATTAAGATAAGTTCTATTAATTTCCTTATTTCTTACATTTCTAATTTTTAAAAAAAGAATAATTAAAATACATTTTTTTAAAAAAAAAAGTTTTTGTGTTTCAAAATTAAGAACAAAAATTAAAATTTCAAATAATTACATAGTAACATAAGTAAACTTAATAATTCACTAATTAACCAACCGAAATCATTACATTTTTTCTCTTTAATTAAACTTAAACTTAAATTAATTCAAAAATTTTTTTACTATATTAGATAATAAACTAAAATATTTTTTTTTAAAAAAAGCATGCATACATAAATACATAGCGCAAGATATATCGTATTTAATATATTAAATTTTAATGTGATTTTAATATAATTTTAATATCAAATTATGTACATTACATATAGTATATTTCATTTAAAATTTTGCAAAATTTAAAATATATTAAAAGTATATTATTTTCTTTAACATTTG